TTCTGCCTCTTGATGGAGGTCTGCTATTCTTGTGTCGAATGGACGATCTAGGATCATCCTCAACACTCTATTCTGTGCAACCTGGATTTTGTTCCTGTGGGTCTGAGCGCACGATTCCCACACCGGGGCGGCATAGAAGATCGCGGGGGCTATGATCTGTTTGTAAACAGCCAGTTTGTTTTGCCTTGAGAGGCGGGATCTGCGGCAAATGAGCGGATACAAACACCTAACCAAGGCGGAGCACTTAACTAGGGTTTTCTCTATGTGCGAGCGGAACAGGAGCTTCTCATCGAACAACATCCCGAGATAAGTAACATCAGTGGACCACTCGACCCTTGTACCATCCATTATTACGGTACAGGAGGGAGACGGTTTAAGTTTTAATGATTGTCTGTGAAGGAACATGATCGCTTGGGTTTTCGAGGCGTTGATTTTGATTTTCCACGTGGTGGCATAATCAGTAAAGGTGTCAAGGCATCGTTGGAGCTTGTTCGTAATTTCACGAGGCATCCTACCCTTGACGGCTATCGCGGTGTCATCTGCAAACAGAAAGAACACGCAACCGTCTCCTAGAGGAGGGATGTCCGACGTGTAGATGCTGTAAAGCAGTGGTCCCAGCAGACTCCCTTGCGGAACACCTGCTGGGATCGGAAATTGTCCCGAAAGGGAACTATTCAACGACACCCTGAACGACCTTTGCTGGAGATAGTTACGGGTGATTTTCACAAGGTATGGTGGAAAGTTGGAGTTACAAAGCTTGTATATAAGTCCGTCGTGCCAGACATTGTCAAACGCCTTTTCGACGTCTAACAAGGCCATGGCTGTGGACTTGGATACAGCTTTGTTACTTCGGATGTTATTCATCACCCGCACTAGCTGATGATTGGTGGAGTGCCCCTTTCTGAACCCAAACTGTTCCGGAAGGAGAATGTTATTTTCCTCGACAAACTTGAGCAAACGATTGAGAATGAGTTTCTCGAACAATTTGCTCAGCGCTGAAAGGAGGCTGATTGGTCTGTAGCTTGAAGACAATGTTGGATCCTTACCGGGTTTGCGGATCGGTATGATTTTTGCTACTTTCCAGATGCTTGGAAAGTAGTGCAGTTCCAAACATCTGTTGAAGATAGCGGTTAGAAGAGACTGCACTTTCATGCTGAGTCTCTTCAAGATCAAGTTGAATATACCGTCAAACCCGGGAGCCTTCATGTTCTTGGTGCATTTCAGCGCTGAGCAAATTTGTTGTACTGTAATCATATCCGCCGGAGGCACGACACAAGGGGAGGCATCTAGGTTTTGAACGCATTGCGCAACCTGATCATCGAGCGGACTTTGGATAGTCGAGCCAAGCAAATGCGATGAAGCGACATGCTTGCCGATCGCATTTGCTTTCTCCTGTGGGGTAATTAAAAGCCGATCGTCATCATTTTCGACTTTGAGAGGTGGAACGGGTTTGGGATGATTTTTCAGGACCTTGGCTACCTTCCAGAATGGTCTGGAGCGGTCGTCCAGATTCTGGACAACACGCCCGAAACTTTCATTTCGGAGTGAGTCCATTCTGGAAGCAATCTGCCTGTTCAGATCGGCCATTTCACGTTTTTTGCCCAGGTCTCCAGTCCTCTGAAACTGGCGTCTACGCACATTTCTCAATCGAATCAATAATTGGGTGTGGGAATCAATAGCAACAAACTTACCCCTCACAGGAACTTGTCGAACGCATGTCTCGTCAGCCTCGGATATGGCCTGTTGGAGTCCTTCCAACGCCCGGTCGATGTCATCTACGGTGTCGAGTAGTGGATTTTCATCGATGTTGCTGTCCACCATTCGACCGTACTGCACCCAGTTGACATGGTGGTAGTCTTTACGCAGGCAGCCTCTAGCAGGAACCACGTTGACACCGACTTCAGTCACCACCGGTTGGTGGTCGGAGCTGATATCGTTGTGCGCCTCCGGCTTGGATAGCCCGATGTTTGACAGGAAAAAGTCTAGCGTGGAGGGATTTCCCGCTGGAGAGATGAAAGTTGGTTCGTCCGGAAATTGCACTGTGTACAATCCATGTTGTGCGTGGTCGAACAATAGACATCCGTTTCGGTTCCTCTGGTAGTTCCGCCAAGCTTCATGGCGGGCGTTCAGGTCGCCCCCAACGATGAATCGGGAGCTAGTACGGGTGATGGCGGTCAGGTCCTTCTTGAATTGGATTCCTAATCCGTTGCTTGCGGTACACTGGCGTGGGCAGTAAACAGCGATGAACCGGACGTTTCCAGTTGGTGATTCCACCTCCACACTAATGGCCTCGATGATAGAAGTGCGGATGTGGGGCAGAGTGCAAAACTTGATTCCCTTTCTGACGATGACCGCTACACCACCCCCCCTGGAGCTGGTGCGATCAAGCCGGATAATGTTGTGGTCAGGCAACCAGAAGCTGTCACCGAACTTTAGGTGGGTTTCGGTTAGAAGACCCACGTCGATGCTATGCTTGCGGAGGAAGTCGGCAAGCTCAATCTGTTTAGCTCTTACAGAGCAAGCGTTCCAGGTAGCGATGGTTAGCGGTTTAGACACCGTATTGGATGATGAACTTACCGAGCACTTGGATCTGTTCGGGCTTATTGCGGCACTTACGTAGAGCACCGGTCATGTTGATAAAAATCTCCATCAGTTCGTCTGCTGAGAACAGATCGGGATTGTTTGTTTCAGCTGTTGGTTGCCTCCAGAATCCAGGGGGGGATGGAGAGCTTTGTCCAGCAGAAGATCCAGACGTTTCTTGAGGGGGCGTGGATCGCACCCTGGGATTCGCTTGTCCACGAAGAGGTGGAAAGTCCTCTGTCCTGAAAGCCGGGGCCTTATCCTTCCTTCGTGCTGGTTGATTGTTGGTGGACGCTTGATTTCGGATGCGCTTGAAATCCTCGCGTTTAGGGCACTGCTTGTTGGATCCTTGGTGAGCACCACCACAGTTGGCGCATTTGGACGCCACAGCTTCATCCGCAGCACATTCGGAGGTGGCATGGTCTTGAGCGCAATTTCCGCAGCGTGGCTTAATGTTGCAGTTGCGGGTACCGTGTCCGAAGTTCAGACACCGCTGGCACTGAGTCACATCGCGATGGCCGCCACGGTATGGCTCCCAGCGAACGATGATGGAATTGATGGACCGGATGGCTTTCAGTGCGTTGAGCGTCACCGTTCCCTTCTGGAAGTATACCAGGAAAAGGCTATCCGGATACGCCTTCACATTCTCGTCTCTTCTTGTCATTCGATACACGGCACTTGGGGCCAGCTTGTACCGGTCCCTGATTTCTGATTCGATAAACTTCGGGTCGAAGTTTGGTAGGCCCCTGATGACGACCTTGAACGGCTTCTCACCGGGAATGTCGTGGGTAAAGAATTCCACCTTGGAAGTCCACAGGTGGGCGACGACCACGTCAAACTCCGTTTTGGTACGGAGCATCACTTTAGTGCCGACTCTGCCCAACTTGTATTCGGCTTTAACACCCAGCGTCGCTAGATCCGCAATGAGCACATTAAGATGGGCATTTTTCACTACCAATGGAGGTAGCTTCACTTTTGCCGAGCTCATTTCGGCAGTATTCACGGTTTCGGCAGCGTCACCGAAATCTCCAACATCGCTGTTGTTCGTCGCAGTGACATCGGACTGGCCTCGATTCTTCTTCCTCTTCTTACTGCGTTTTTCCAACACAGCTGGCTGGATATTCCCATCCATGGGGAGAACAGCAAACCTGTTCCAGGTAGGCACACCGGAGCTTCCTTCTCCGGGGTTCTGGACCTTCGCCGGGCTTCGCGACCGATGCTTCCCCATTACGGGCACACACACACGCACGACAAACCGCGAAAGAGAGAGCGCGAACACTATCGCAATGAACTTTTCAAACAACTCGAGAGAGCGAGCTAACACCGAACTGAACTGCTTGACGATCAAGCAGAGAAACTGATGTTGATGAGCAAAAGGATGACAGCAGCGCTGTTTTATATCTTTTCCGGTTCAGAAACTGATAGGATTTCCCGCCGTTTTTTTATGAATGGGGCGGAGCAAAAAGTTTCTTTTGTTCAGAATATGTAAAGCAGGATGGAGTTTGGATGTTAATATAATTGCATATATAGAGGTACCAGATATACTTTACAGTCAGTTGTTTGTTGGTAATTCATCGAGTGTATGTCTCCTAGTAAGCAATATTTTTTTTGAAAATGTTTAAAAAAATTAATTGTTCATACTTTATTAAGGTTTGATTTAAATTTATTTCACGAAAAAAAAATGATCGTCAAAGTCTATGTCTTTTTCGAGTTATTGTTAAGGGGGAGGGGGAGGGGGCTTTACATGCACGTTTTTTCAAGTCTCATTCCTCATTGTAGTGGACACGCCGTGATCCACCTTTAGCCGCTGACCTAGTCCTGCTTGATCCGTCCGAAGCGGTAATGAGCAGAGGCATGAGAGCAGCGCTGATTTATATCTTTTCAGGTTCAAGCAGAATGATGTGCAACCAAGTGGTATTCGTTTATGATGACTGGGTTTGGGAAAAAGGCTTATTTCATGAAATCAGTGCTAAAATTATCATTTGTACATTTTCAAAAGTTTATTTGCAAAAAAAAAGGAAAAATATTTATTTCAAAAGGTTCGTAATGTAATATCCTATCGATTGGCGTATTTGGATTTTAATTTAATCTATAAATGACAAAGTTACAAGCGTTCAAAACCTAACACTCCTAACACCACACATATTTTTTGATTTGCACCCCAGTATAGTCGACATAGACGTAGTTCTACGTCAAAAATGTTTATGTATTTAAGAGTAAGATTTTTTAAAATTTAGATTAATTATTTTTCATCAAATCTAGTTGTTTTTATCAAACCGGGAAAACTATCATGGACAACTCAAAAAAAGGATATTAAAAATCTAAAATTAAGTGGCCTGAAATATTGCGCTGAAATTGCCACAGGAATTATGTACTTTTATGTGAACAGACTTTTTTACATACATAGAACATAAGTACATTCACGGTTTTATATTTGCGAGTATCCAATCCATATAGTCCGCAACATTGGTGTATATCGAAACGCCACGACACGGAATGGTTCTAATGGAAAAAATACCAAACTGTATGAAACGTACTCCATTGTACCTAGCACTGTAGCCTAATGGTGCTCCGCCATCTCCACGGCACGCCCCTGGTCCGTCCCACTGGCCTATGCAAATATGGCTCGGATGCAGCTTGAGATTTGCACTTTCCAACCAATCCTGGCACACGTTTCGATCACCAGGGGTAACAGTAGTTTTAAGTAACTTCATTGACTGCTCTCCCAGTTCCGTATCGCCCCAACTCGAAATAATGTACTTATCAAGAGTTAAATGCCTCAATGAATTTGTGATCGGTAAACAGATTGGTTGAATATGATCTAGAAACATAAGAGAAAGAGAATCAATGTAAAGTCCTTGGACTTAATACATAACTACGTGTACCTTCGAATAGAATATCCCTGTTCAGACGAATCAAAGCGATGTTGTTTACTAACGTTTTGGAATCGAAGCTCTGATGTCTGATAATACATTGAATTTCATAGTCACGGACAGGAGGAGCGCATTCCCGGTCCCCATCCCTTACATTGCAATCTATTTCCTGGCCAATGGTATGCTCTCCCAATCTAACTCTCATACTGTAATTGATTTGTTAAGAAGAAGAAGAATTTATACTTTCAAAAAGATCAAATTGACACTTACGGTAATTCCAATGTGCAATGTGCAGCTGTGAGAACGTAACGTTTGCTAATCAGAGTACCAACGCATTTATACTGCCATTCGTAGTCCTGCCATTTCTGAATGATTGCCATCCAGGGAAATTCAAATACATCTGTGTTTTGACCTTGGGTGATACGATTGGTAATGTAGCCACCACAGCTATGAGGCAATAATAGGTTTGAGTCAGTTTTCCGTGGTTCGGCGTACTTTGGCTCACAGATATTATCGGGACCTAAAACGGAACGTTAAATAACGATACTTTTCCAGCTGAATGGCGTATTTCATTCAACGTACGTAAATCATCTGATGGCGGTATTTTTTTATTTTCCGGAAACTGGAAATCAGTCACAGAAGAGATCCAACGCAAATATGTGTACACTTTAGTAAATGCTGCGTAGCTGTGGGTGTGGCAGAGGTTGCTGCTGGCATCACGTGCTTTCGTAAATGACACAATTCCTCCCAAGTACCAAATGTTGTGTACTTTGAAAAACAATCCACCTCCACTATCTCCATTGCACACGGTGGTGCCGTTCGTATAACCGGCGCAGAGTACTCCTTCATCCAAAGTTGGTCCAAACAATTCTCGATCACTTTTTAAACAAGTAACGCTATCAACTACAGGAATTCTAACGCTTTTCAAAATAGATGAAGTTTGATCATCCTCTGTCACTCCCCAACCGATCGCTTTTCCGTACTGTCCCGTGTGATCTTTTGAGGAACTCAAACAAGCCGGCTGCACATATTGATCGAACTCAGCCACCGTTCTCATTTCCAGGATAGCAATGTCATCCCGTAAGCCATTATTGTTATTGTCGGTAGGTTTGCGAATCTTTTGGATCTCATGTTGCTGGATGGTTTTTCTATCCGGAGAATTCAAATTGTGAACACCCAGTAGAACAAAGATGTTCTTTGGCGCTAATTGTTGTCCATTATCTGAATCTCGAACGCAGTGTGCCGCCGTTATAACGACATGTTCATTTATAAGAGTTCCACCGCAGACATACTTATTCGAACGATTTATTTTATGGTAAATTGCTGCATGCCATGGCCACTCGCCTTTGACAGTACCGTGACCTCGTACTATCAACTCGGTTATCCTATTTTGCGTTTTTCCACACTGGAACGAATCTTGTTGGAGGCTATCTCTCCCACTCAAAATGATAACAAGAATTGATACAAAGAAATGGCATTCAAATTTCTGAAATATTCTAGTTGTTAACATTTTAAACAAAGGTTTTCAAACAAATAACCGCAAACAGGAAGTTTTACAAAGAAAAATCACCATCCATTCGCGTTAGAATGTTGAAGATCACTAAACAAGTTATACGATTATACGTGGTGCTATCCACCGTTTTTTTTTTCGTTTTAAACCAGTTTACTGTGGATCTGAAGTTTGGCCATCGATGGAAATTAGATTAATTTGACCTTTAGAGGACACAAATGGTTATTTGTGGTTTCCATTAATCCACCTACGGTGATAGATGCATTCTCATGTGATTTTAGGTTTCGCATGATGGATTTTGACTCTAGTCAGAAACTGGCCACTTCCCCGGGGGTACCCGAAACATATCCGGATGTGGACAGTGTGGATCTGGGCACTCCAAATGACTACCATTGAGCTTGTTTTTGAATTCTCTTATGATTTTATGTGTCACATGATGGGTTTTATCCGTTTCAGGTCGGGTTTAGTCTCATGGCCCATAAAAACTGGACTATGTTCCGTACATATTCTATGGGATCATAGTACTGTCAAACTTTTAACACTTTTCAGCTTCAAAGCTTCACAACAATAAATAATGCAACGGATGTTCAAATGTTTTTTTTTTTGCTCTTTATTTGGATTGGAAGTTTGGCTCATTGACATTTTGCCAGCAGGCTCTTTGTTTTTATACGAACTCATGATTCCGTGAGATTTCTTCTTCTGAAGATCTTTGGTCAGTTCGAATGTATTTTCAAAATATAAGGTTGATCAGGAATCATGTCTATGACCTTCAAATGATTAAAAATTTAAATTAAATCCTTTGAATATTCTCTCATCATATCAGGTTGATCAGAGGTTGATCCAAATTCTTGCCGCTTCATATAAAATTGATCAGAAATTCTTCCAAATTATCAGAAATTATATCAAAAACTTACGACTGATCGCAAATGGAAATCGAGTTCTCCATATATTTCCTTATCATATCAAATTGATCAAAAAATCTTCTGAAGATCTTCGCTCAGTTCGAATGTTTTACTTCTTTTTTTACATAACATTTTTCAGGAATCATGTCAAAGATCTTCAAATGATCAAAAATTTAAACTATCCTCTCATCATTTCAAGAAGATCAGGAATTCTGAAGAATTTTTGATCAATTTTATATGAGAACTCGATTTCCATTTCCCTTCCCCTTGGCTAGTTTTTGTACCTTGCTGTTGGTGGGCGGGCTTAATTTCATGCTTTAGAGTGGAGTGTTGGAGACGGTAGGTTTATGGGCGGCGTTGCTGGCTCATGCCGTGATAGAATGGCGCAATGGGCAGGATTACTAAGCTTCCCCTATCTGATAAACCACTGCATGAGAGAACCAAAGATCTTTTCCAGCAGTGATAGTATCACACTTGTTACTCCTTTGTTTGAGAGCCGCGTCGTAGTACGCTTACGTATGGGCACTGACGTTGGGTCTGGTACTGGCGGGTTTTGCTGCAAATCACTCTTATTTTATTTGGGTTTGCAAGGGAATTATACTATTGAAATATTTCAGAAAGTGCCCAACGGTGCTCCTTCTATTTGCGTGACAAGCTTTCATTGTTGTTTTCATTGAAGTATTACTCAGGAAACAATGTTAAACATCAATTTTGTACATGGTATTGTAACTAATCTTATATGTGCTTCATTTTGATTTGGGATAAGTGTTTGAACTATGGCTCTGGATTTCCACTGTGACGTGCTTCTATTGTGACATATCCATACGTAATTTTGTGGGAAGACAAAGTGGAAACATGTGAGCATAGTTGGAGCATATACCCTCCCAAGTAACATTTTAAGTTTTATGAAATTCTACAACGCAACTATAAAACAACATTCATAAAACCCTGGTCAAGGCTATTTTGTCATTAATGCATCCACCAAAACCTCATTAAGACTAGAATATGTCTAGTTGGCCCACCCTGGAGAAGGTTCTGAAGGGTGTATTCTCGAAGCTCTTCAGGATTGATTTACTGCAAAAGGTTGTTAACGAACGCATTGAGAACCATTTGAAAGCTACAATAAAAGCTATTTAGCAACAATAAAAACCCTTTCCGAGCCATTTCCCCTAGCCGCATGCTGAATCCACTAGGAAAGCATCAATCAAGATAGAAAAGGATTTATGAATCCGATCTGATCAAAATAATTAAAATAGAGACTGATGGTATAACAATCTTGTTGAAAATCCAAATGTAATACAATAGTTCTTATTAAATGGCCTAGTTTTAAGTGCCATATTAAATTTTTTGTGAAATGTTCGTGAAAACATCGAAAAAATTAGGTCCACCCTCGTAAAACTCCGATTTTACTAATTATTTAACATTGAAAAAAAAATAGATTCTTCAGATCGAGCTTGGCTGAGATGTTTTTTTATTATTTTCGCATTTAAATGTTTGCTAATTGCTAAATTTACCAAAATAAAGTTTATTTTTTTTTTTTTTTTTTTTTTTTTTTTTTTTTTTTTTTTTTTTTTTTTTTTTATAATTCGTTTATTTTTCCAGGCTCATTTGCTGTAGCTTTGCGGAGCCGATATTCATTGTTTAGATAACAAAATTACTTAAAACTAACGTTAGTAAAGCGGGGGCCGATTACTCGCGGCTATCTCGAGGTTAGGGGTAACAAATTGTAACAAATGGATGGCAGGGTAGGGATTGTGAACACAAGGTTTGGAGAGCAATGTGCTCTTGATCTCGAACTAGGCGACACTCTGATGAAAAAGACAAACATGGGGGTACACCGATGGGTAGCTAACAACTTGGGAGAACACAAGATGACACTAACTTCTAAATCCTCAAATATATCCGTTTTAAAAACACATAAATTAAATTCAAATAGTCAAGGTCTCGGCTCGCCAAGACATCTCTAACGGGTATCGCGGGTTGTTTTCCTCGGGCCCTGAGGGATGTGGATAACTCAGATCTGGCAACACGGTGTAAGGTACACGACCAAACAACATGCTCGATATCGTGATAACCACTGCCACACGCACATAAATTGCTGCCTGAGAGCCCAATTCGATAGAAGTGCGAGTCTAACGAGCAGTGATTGGACATAAGCCTTGAAATAACGCGTATAAAGTCGCGGCTCATGTCCAACCCTTTGAACCATGGTTTGTTCGACACCTGTGGGAGAATAGAATGTAACCATCTTCCCAATTCACCATCATTCCATTTTTGTTGCCAACTGATGAGGACTTGCTGGCGAGCAATGGAGAAAAATTCGTTGAAGGCGATTTGTCGCTCAAAAATATCGCCTTCCATAGCGCCCACCTTAGCCAATGAGTCCGCTTTCTCATTACCCGGAATTGAGCAATGAGATGGGACCCAAGCTAAGGTGATAGTATAGGAGCAGTTAGATAAAGCACTCAGTTTAGATCGTATTTCAGGCAGGAAATACGAGGAGTGCTTCATCGGCCTCATTGAACGAATAGCCTCCAATGAGCTAAGACTATCCGTAAAAATGAAATAATGGTCAGAAGGTAGTGAGGCAATTCGCTCTACTGCGTAAAATATAGCTGCGAGTTCTGCAACGTATACGGAGCATGGTTTCTGCAGTTTATAGGAGGCGCTATGAAATTGATTAAATACACCAAATCCAGTGGAAGCATTTATGGTTGACCCATCTGTGAAAAATCTTTTATCGTTACTTACATGGTGGTACTTGATTGCAAAAATTGAGGGAACAACCATCCACCGATGGTGATCTGGTATTCCATGGATTTCTTGCATCATGGTCAGATCAAAATTTACAGAGGGACTATAGAAGGCTTGGAAGCAATCACGATTGGAGATTAATGAAGAAGGACCAACCTCCAGCGTCATGTACTCATAGTACAAACTCATGAATCTTGTTTGAGGATTTTGGTCGAGCAGCTTCTCAAAGTGTTCTATTACCAAAGGATTCAATACTTCACAACGGATGAGGAACCGGAAAGACAGCTCAGCGAAACGATCTGTCAGTGGGAGAACACCCGCGAGTACTTCGAGGCTCATCGTATGCGTCGAGTGCATGCAGCCAAGCGCGATTCGGAGGCAACGGTATTGAACTCGTTGCAGCTTCAAGATATGTGTTTTCGCCGCGGATTGAAAGCAGAAGCTACCGTACTCTAGAACCGACAAGATGGTTGTTCGATACAACCTGATAAGATCTTCCGGGTGTGCTCCCCACCAAGTTCCGGTAATTGTACGAAGAAAATTGATTCTTTGTTGGCATTTTTGTTTTAGATACGCAATATGTTTTCCCCATGTGCATTTGGAATCGAACCAGACACCTAAATACTTGAAAGATATACTTTGAGTGATTGTTCTACCCTTTAGTTGAAGCTGTAACTGTGCAGGATGATGCTTCCTAGAAAAAAACAACCAACTCAGTTTTCTCCGGAGAGAATTCGATACCCAGCTTCATAGCCCAAGTAGACAAGTTGTCTAAGGTATCTTGCAATGGTCCTTGCAGGTCCGGTGCACTTGGCCCTATAACGGACACAACGCCGTCATCTGCAAGCTGCCTTAGCGAGCAATTTTCATCAAGACAACCATCAATGTCTTTAACGTAAAAATTATAAAGAAGGGGGCTTAAACATGAGCCCTGGGGGAGACCCATGTAACTAATTCGTGAAGTTGTCGAGTTTCCATGAGAAAAGCTCATATATTTCTCAGACAACAAGTTGCTCAAATAGTTGTTCATAATTGGTGAAAGCCCACTATCGTGGAGTTTATCCGAAAGGACATCGATACAAACAGAATCAAAAGCCCCCTTAATATCCAAGAAAACTGAACCCATTTGCTGTTTTTGCGCATAGGCCAGTTGAATTTCAGTTGAAAGCAACGCAAGACAGTCGCTCGTTCCTTTGCCTCTCCGAAATCCAAATTGCGTATCTGAAAGTAAACCATTCG